CGACATTTCCAAGAAAGCAATGAATCGCCTAGTAAAATAGTACCACCAGATAAAAATGACTTACCATTTTCTGCATTTCCCCAGCTAGCATCAGCATATGCATTTAAAACTCCAAAATCATTGCTATAGAAAAGTTTTTTTTTTTTATTTTTTGTACCTTTTAAATACCTTAATACCCTTTTAGCCAAAAGATAATGCCTTTTTTCTGGTACTTGATTAAATTGTGACAAATAAGTTGTTACAAATGATATATCAGGACGCATTCTATTCGCTAAATATAAAAGTTCCCCCAATTAATTCCCGATACAAAATTGCATCAATTTTTTCATTTGTACATGAAAAACCTTTATCTGCCCCTTTAACAATTGGCGTTTTTACTGCTTTACAATTTTCCAGATTGTGTTTAGTCAATAAAGATTCAATATATTCTGTTTGAGACAAACATATACCATTTTCAAGTTTTTCTATTTGCATTCCCAAAAATTTTGAATTAGTATTTTCATGTAACTCAAATACATTTTTAATTTTAGAAACAATATTTTCAAGCATTTCTTTATTATTACAGAATACAGCTAAATCATCAACATACAAACACAATATAAAAATGTTTTTGGTATCATTATAAATGAATATACAATTATCAGATGCTAACTGTACCAGTCCAAGTTTTTCTAATTCAGTTTTTATTTTCATATACCAATTTCTACCCGATTGAGGCAACCCATAAATACTTTTCTTCAATTTACATACTTTACCTTCTCCAATCAGTTTTTCATAACCAAGTGGAGGAGTCATATACACATCCACAGTCACTGTACAAGTATGATGTTTTTATATCATAAAATTTAACAGGCAAGTTTAATTTAACTGAAAGTGCAAGCAATAATCTAAAACATTCAATGTTAACTGCTGGTGAATATGATTCGGTATAATCCTTATTTTTTATTTGATTAAACCCAGCTGCTACTAATCCCGCTTTATATTTCACTTCCCCAGAGTCTCCTTCCTTCAAAGTATACACCCACTTACTTTTTACTAATTTTGTTTTTTTCAGGCCTCTCTACTATTTCCATTTCCCACACTTCATGTTTATGTAATGAATCTAATTCATTTTCCATTGCGGATTTCCAGTCATACCAATTAGCACTTTGTTTTGCTTCTGAAAAATCATTCGGAACATTACTGATTATACTTGACGCTAGTTGTTTTGATTTGAGCCTCTCGGATCGTCTTAATGGTATTTTATTTCCATATTTATTACTTTTTTCATAGCTATCAGATGTTTGGACTTTATTTCCCCTGTCATTACCCCCGCTAAAATGGCTCATGTCGGCGATTTCGAAATTCGATGAGTCATCACATTCGCTTGCTTGAGTATTTTCCGTAACAACAATTCAAGGTGTGGTTTTTTATCTACTTCGTTTCCCTTTCCTTTTAATTTTAAAATATCTCAAGTTTCTAAGGCTTTATTTTCCCCCATATAATTACTACCCTTTAAAGATTCATTAAATTTAACTGATCGCTCTTCAATTATTTTATTACTTGCTATATCATAAATACGATATCCTTTATTTTCTCTAGCATTATCCCTCTTTTCCCTGGTATGTCAAATTTGTTTTTCATTACTTTCGGAATGTAAAAGTATGCCACACATCCAAATTTTTTTAGATAGTTTAATTTGGGTATTTTACAAGTCCAAATTTACTAAAGGAATTTTTTCTTTTCCTTTCCAGAGTGTTAAATTCGATACTTGAGTACTAAAATTAATAGCTTCTGCCCAGAATTTTATCGGAAGCTCACTCTCATGTAGTAATGACCTAGCTCTTTCTAAAAGAACTCTGTTTGCTCGTTCAGCTTTCCCATTACTCTCACTGTTATATGGAATTGTTTTTTCATGAAAAATACCTGAATTAGCAAGATAATTATTTAATTGTTGATTTACAAATTCTGAACCATTGTCTGTTCTCAAACGCTTAATTCTTTTACCAGATATATTTTCATACTTAGCTTTAAATTTACAAAATGCGTCAAATAATTCACTTTTACTTTTAAGAAAATAAGTAAAATACATTCCAGAAAAATCATCCACTCAGATCATAAAATATTTAGACCCACCAACTGATTCAGTTCGAACAGGGCCACATAGATACGAATGAATTAATTCTAAAATTTCTGAACTCTGATTAATGTCAATATCTGGATGACTTTTTCTAGTTATTTTACTTATGTTACAAGTTTCCCACTTAAAATCACTTACATCATTAATATCAATGTATTCTTTCATTTTAAGCATATATTTTGGATTTAAATGGCCCAATCTGCTATGCCAGAGTTCATAATTATTACCAGCACAATCATTAGCAATGCAAGATTCAGAATTATAACATGGTTCTAAATTAACTTCAAGCCTACCGTTATTCTTAAATGCTTTAAAAAGTAATTCATTACACCTACTAAAAACTAATACAGAATTATTCCTTGATTCAATGTTACGTCCTTTATCCACTAAGGCAGTGAGTGACAATAAGTTATTTCTTAAATCAGGAATATAACTAACATTACTAATACAGTCAAAAGTCGTTCACTCGGACACCCATAATCCAGAATGATCTATAATCCAGACCTCAAAGCTAAAAACTTTCTGCGCATGCGGTTTGTTGACACATGCGCATAGGCGTTTACGCGCGTGCGTAAGACCTTTACGACTGCGCATATGCGTGCGTGCAAGCGCAGAATAGATTTCCGCGTGTGCGTTTTATGTATAACGGACGGTATAAGCTAAAATTATCTAATTATCTATTTCAGTTAATGTTGATGATTGCGTTGTTCCTTAATCTTCGAATTGGATCCGGCTTATTATTTTTTGCAGACTGTAAGAGCAATTTTATAAAAGTAAACTTGAACTTTCGATTATGTCAAATAGAATTTCCGATGCTGGAGCTCCCAAAGGATTTACAAAACGAAAGTATGTTTCGATGTCCATCAAACAAAAAGTGGAATTGCTGCAAAAAAATGGATAAAGACATGAAGAAAGTGACAGAGAGGTTAGTGAAAATGAAAAAATTTCGATTGACAAATTAGTCGGTATTCTCTTAAACAACTTACATTGAAAGAAATGTTTAATAAAGTAAACAAATAAATATTAAGCTTTTTTTTTTGTAAATTTTGATCATAATTGTTCTTTATTTAATAAATTACGGTTTCATATTTTTAGTTTTAGAATTTCTGCATGCCATCTTACGAGATTTAAACTGATGATCTATAATCCGGAAAAATCGATAATCCGGAATCGCCGAAGTCCCGACGAGTCCGGATTAACGACTTTTGACTGTACTAGTTAAATTAATAAAACTAGAATTCTTCGTATTTATAGTTTTTGCTTTAACAGTACCAATACCTTCTGAATATATTTTTGAATGTTTACCTGCCTGGTAAATCTTCCTCACTTCTGGTGTAATATTCTGAAACCAAAAGAAGTCTTTTGCTATGTGTCCAGTTGCACCACTATCCAGCAACCAAATTTTATCACATTCATCATTTTTTCCACGCGTAAGTTGAAGAACAAAATCATTTTCTCTTTCATCAGAACGAGATGAAACATTCACACTTGTAGGCTGTGACTTCTTTCTTCCCTTGTTACATTTGGATAACTCACTTTATGGATTCTTGTTTCTGTAATAGCAGTCCTTCGCGATGTAACGAGCAAATGTAACAAATTCTTGACTTACAGTTTTTATTCCTTCTTCATATGAACACCTCTGCGTTGTTTCCATCAGGTCATTTCCCATTTGTTGAATTGCGAACGGACTCTTCCTCACAGAGTATTTCAAGTACTTCATCAATTGTTTTTGCACGCCGAGTTTTTACAATTTCCCTAATTCGAGAGAATTTTCCACGAAGTCCACGGACTGTGTAAAACACCAGTTCCCGAGGAGATACATCTAGTCCTAGCGATTGGCACTTAGTAGCTATTCCTCTCGCTCTTGCGATATAATCATTAGCCGACTCATGCAACTTCATTTCTAAATTTTTTACTCATTACCAGCATCTATTTTTCGATCTTCGGCTTGTCCCGTAAATGTTGACTTTATTTTTTCCCAAAGAATATTTGCATTCTTTTCTGTGGAGAACTGAAGCGCCTGTTGATCTGATAGTGAAAGTTTAATATACGCTACGGCGTCAGCGTTTTTCTCATTCCACAATCTTTCATCTTTCTCGTCTAAGTTTTCTGGTTTTACTGTCGAAATTACAGAGTCAAGTCTTTTCAGTGATATGGCAGCTTTAATTTTCAATGACCCAAATAAAATAGTTCTCTCCAGTTAATTCGGGAACGTTCCACTTCTCCATTTTTGGCTTCACTAAGACAGTTTCGGTTTCGATTTGGTATTTTATATCCAATTCTTCTTGACAAAACCATGCAGCTGCTACCATTTGTTGTTCAGAGCCAATGTTTAGAGTAAAGATACCATCGATTTAGGACAATACACTTTATTTACACGAATAATGAATAAAAGGATCATACAGGAAATCATACTGACCATCACACAGCAAATAACATCTCACCATCTCCATACGCTCGAAGCTCGAATGACGGATGTGTCGGTAGAAGAGACAGCTGCGCCATCATAATTAATATGCATGCGCATAAGAAAAAAAAGTTCCCTCGCCTCTACCCAAGAAAAGTACTGTTTGCACTAGTTTTTAGTTCCAAAGTTTGTGCGTTTTTATTTTTTTAAAAAAAATTGTAAATAGTGTATAACTATTATAGTCTAAATTCAATTAGATTAGACTGTACTTTTCTTGTTATCATGAGTTTCATTTTCTTTTTTTATAAATAAGTGGCCCTTTTGAGGATTGCCAATGGCAACCAAAATGCAAGGGCTGGCCTTGATGCACTTAAATGCAAATCCAATATTCCTTTTATTTTATTATGTAGGTGCATAATAAATATGAATATCCGAATGTACAAATAATAAATATGAATATCCAAATGTACAAACTTGTAGTCGAATAAGTTCTGTATCTGTTTCAAGAGTGTCCATGCTTGGAGCCCCTTCTTTCACAACTATTATTTCATGTCCTGACGTTGATCCAGCATAAGACTTAGGTCTTGGAACTTTAGGGGATGACCTGGGTGATGGAGTAGCAGATGTACGAAGACTATGTGCAGGACTTTTTGAAGAGAGCTTTGGCGAATCTAAAATATTAAAAATAAGCATTTAGAACGAACACAGATATAATTACTATAAAAGCTAAGATACAAACTATGAGCATTCTACACTCACGTTTGTGAAAATTGCAACACCAAGAAGGAATCGTCATAATTGAATGCAATTTAATACACAGTTGAGTGGTAGTGGTACAAATAAATGATTAAATGTTCAAAGCAAACAAACAAGAACAAGAGATCAGAATCAGTATTTTGTGTGGCCACCACGCGCCGCAATAAGTGATGCTACACAACGTGGCATGGAGTCAAACAAAGTTTGAATGTCTGACTGAGGAAGAGCATTCCATATCGTTTGTACGCGTACCCAAAGTTCGTCTGCAGACGCAACAGGACGAGGATCACGAGCAAGATGCCGACCAATGACATCCCACACATGTTCAATTGGCGACATATCCGGGGAACACGCAGGCCAAGGAAGAAGCTGTACCTGCTGTGCTGCAAAGAAGGATTTAACAATCCAAGCAGTATGAGGGCGGGCATTGTCCTGTTGAAATACAGCGCCTGGCAAGCTTTGAAGGAAGGGAACAGCTTCGGGCTGTAGAAGAACTTCACGGATATACCGATTGCTGTTCAGATTGCCCACAATTCGTAGCAATTGAGATCGTCTATGATATGCTATGGCGCCCCAGAGACCATAACTCCGGGTGTTCGTCCACTGTGGCGTTCGATAATGCACTCCGGAAGGTGGCGTTCACCGGCATAGCGTCTGACACGAATGCGGCCATCATGGTACCACAAATTAAAGCGGGATTCGTCAGAAAACACGACATGCTGCCAATCAGCACGCCAGTCTCCATGCTGATTGGCCCATTGTAGCCGCAGGCGGCGATGGTCGTGCGTTAGGGGGATCCTGTATAAAGGAGTCCGTGCGCGCAGTCCACACTGCAGCAGACGTCTACGAATTGATGAAGCACACAATGAAACACCTGTAGCTATTGACCACAGTGCTGCCAATTGTCTAGAGGAAGCTGTATGGTCCGTCCGCGCCATGCGGACCAGGTGTCTATCATCGCGAGCTGACGTCACATTTCGGGGTCCACTCCCGGATTTCCGAGTTGTCCGACAGTCGTCCGTCCACTGCTTCCAAACGCGCATCACTGTGCTGCTGTTACGCTGCACACGAGAGGCTACTGCACGATACGACAATCCAGCTTCACGAAGGCCGATGATTCTCCCTCGTTCAAACTCTGTAAGTTGTTCAAATCTCGCTCTCTTTCGTCGATGAGGCATAAGTACAGATTGAGTTAACGTTTACCACTAGCAGATAACCACCGATAACCATACACGCCTCGCTACAGCCGTCTATTTATTCGGATCCATCAGCTGTTCAGAGGGCGCTGCTCAGCATATGCATGCGCTACGGATTTGCAATTCTAATCATGCGCTACTTTGCATTTCCTGAAAATTTCAGCTCACTCGCGTAAGTCCTTCATGGTGTTGCAATTTTCACAAACGTGAGTGTATTAATAGCTGATGCATATATGAACAAATACATAAGAACTATTTAAAAAAAGATTTAATCAGAATCAAAGTAATACAGTACAAAGTCCATAATCAGGACTCGCCGGGACTTCGGCGAGTCTGGATTAGGAGTTTTTCCGGATTATAGATCAATTTAAATTTGGTAAGATGGCATGCAGAAATTATACAATTAAAAATATGAAACCGTAATTTATGAAATACAGTATATTATAATCTAAAGGGTATCAAAATTTACAAAAAAAGCTTATTATTTATTTGTTTACTTTATTACCATTTCTTTCAATGCAAGTTGTTTAAGTTGCTTCGTTTTTGTGCAAATACTTTCTCTTTAATTCTATAAACAGACATAATTTCTTGTTCAGTTACAAAGTTCCACTGTTTAAGTCCTGTAATTGCTGTGTCGAGAATACCAACTAACTTGTCAATCGAAATTTTTTCGTTTTCGATAACCCTTTACTATCGAAAGCGGTATTTTCTGGATCTAGAACTAACCATACCACACATTTCGCCATCCGTTAAATGACTGATGATTGGGGCATTGTTGTCGCAATGAAAAACTTCTGTTATATCATCTTCGTTTATTACCGCTTCTCCAAATTTCTTTACAAGATCCAATAACTGGAAAATTTCACCTTTAGTTTGCGATGTCCGAAAACCTCCAAATTTGCGGCTATCATTTTTATTGTCCTCACCATGAAATATGGTAGCTGGCCATAAATTATGCCAAGCATTTTTTAACGTATTTGGGGACACATCCTCCCAATGCGCATGCGTAAAGCATACAAAAAAAAAGTTTGTGGCTTTGAGGTCCGGATTATAGATCATTCTGGATAATGGACGTCTGGATTACAGACTTTGTACTGTATAAATTTTCATTTGGTCACAATAAACAATGTTTCATGTGTTCCAGCACAATTAGAACATTTTGTCTATTTGTACTGGTATGATGATTGCAGCGCCACACAATGTCAATGGCAAGAACCCAGTACTATTCCTTATGCAATTAGGCATGCACTCGGCCAACACCGAGTCACTTTTCCTATGCCCAGTCAAAGCAGCAGTAACCGTTACAATTCAGTTACAATCCTTACTCATTCTTTTGCCCATTTAATTTGCATTATTATGTATTAAAGGAAATAAATGTAGTTATGTTTTTCCACTTTCATAAAATCATATAGAGTCCACAATCACATGCTGTCAACATTTTGTGCAGATAAACATAAAAATATAGCAACATAAATTTTAGCATAAATGCTCTTGCATTCACCCTTGAATTGGACATGAAATGATCCCCAAAAGTTAACACCACAATTAACAAAGAGTGAAGTCAAAATTGCATGCTCAGTATGAAGATTACCCATGACCTGATTTGCTGCAATTGGATTGTTTTTAAAACAAATACCGTATTTGACGGCATATAAGACACACTTTTTTCCTAAATTTGGTCTCAAAAAAGTTACCTGTGTCTTATACGTGAAGGACACAGGTTAACTTTCAATACTGAATGCTATTGTTAGCCCGGATAAAGGTCTAGACACACATAACTTTTTCTACATCTGCCATAATTATTTTGCGCATGCGTGAAATATCTGTCGCCAAAAAGCGCCAAAGCTCAAAGCTGAACAGGTTCGACGGTGACTACAGGAAACAAGAGATTAAACCATACAATTCAGTATGAACTAGGAGTGTTAAACTATGTCAAAGTGCATGCTTCTGCATGGTTTCTGCTTTATTTTGTATTATGTTTGATTGATTGCCGTTTATTCATTATTGAAATTTACATATCATGTTCAAAATAGCTTGCCATTTTTTAATTTTCTTGAATAAAAATATGTTTCAATGATTGTTTATTTGGCTTTTACGAAGCGTGAGAACTAAAAGAAACCATATTTTAAGTTATTGTGGTACCGCGCTCTCGCGCGGATTATTAAAACTTTTTTTCCATGTGTGTGGCCTTCTAAATAAGGGTGCGTCTTATATGCTGTCAAATACGGTAATACAAACATGAGTTATCTTATGAGCTTATACCCTTGCCGTAAATGGGCCAATATTTCAAATGTACCTAATGAAGTAAATCTTGCATACTAATATGTAAATACTTCTTACAAAAATCAATGACTATAAGGTCTATTAAATGGTAATGACTAAGACTATGAGGCAAAATTAACTGGTGTTTGCAATCAAAGTTTGACTTTTTTACTCTTTCTCCAACTCTTAAAAGAGAAATCTCATCTAGAAAAGGTTCAAGACCTTTTAACTCAATCTACGCAGGAATAAGTTTACCTTGTGGAAGAGCTGTAACTTCCAAATTAAAGGCAGTTACTTGGGCATGTTGTATAGGAAATTCCTTCGCTTTTTGCATCAGCAGGGGTGTTTGTGAGACCCCAAAAAATCCCCTGAAACTTTTACGGACTTACTACCGACATTTTGGAGTTTCGAGAAGGGGGGGAGAGAAATGAAAAATTACAATTATGAAGTGTTGAATGACCTAATTATAAAAGTTCAATGAATTACTTTTTTTGAAAAATTAATAACCATAAATTTTCAAACATATAAACTACTACATTTTATGTAAATATTTTAAATTACCTGAATTAATTCTTTAAAAAAAATTATTTAATTTCTGCTGCTTTTTTTTATTTTCTGATGTTTGTGGGCTTGTCTTTCTTTTGTGGTGAACTTCATAATTGCAGGAAGGTTGACTTTTATTTTCCTCATTTACAGTTGAAGAAATTTCCTCGAGAACTGCACATGCAGAGGCAGAAGCAGTTTGCTTTTCTGCTAATGTAGAAGGTTTTTCAGAGACTTTTATAGGTGACTCATCTGAAATACATGTTTTTAAGTCCTCTTGATATGTTTTCCAACTTCTGTTCATATTCAGTAAGAGATCTTTGTGAATTGGATCAGTCATTGGATTTTTTTAGCCATATTTTTCACATGAGGTTTCTTTAGAAGCCATTAAATCATATTTAATAGTCTGCACTGCATCTAGGAATCAATCTTAAGAGAGGTTCTATAGTTAGTGACAAGTGTATCCATTAAGTTGAATGCACTTTCCACTAATGGGCCATGGAAGCAGCTAAGGAAGGCTTTGACCAATTTAGCCAATGTAGGATACTTATAACCATTTGTGAAATCATCTTTTAAATTAAAAACTTTAGACCAATATTTATCAATTGTACACTTGACTTGATCTCCACTTTCATCAGATGTGTAGAGCATTTCTTTGGTGATATCAATATCACTTTGGTATAACCTTATTTCAGCTTCTACTTTTGACTTTTCATTATCACTAAAAATATGGGACATAAAAGATGATAATTTTTCAAAAGCTAATACTATTGTACTGGTTTTACCTCTTAGCTCTGGATCTAATGCTGTAAAACTAATTAAGTATGAACTTTTAAGAGGTAATTTCTGTTTCATATGCTGTGCTGTATTAGTATAAGCTTTCATCAGAGAAATTTGGAATTCTTTTGCTATTG